AGGCCATGAACATATCTCACAGGATCTGTGGGAAACCACTGCAAGAATACAAGTTGTGCCTCCCCTTGCCTCACCTTCTAACTTCACTGCCACTTTGTGCCAGCTCTCTTACAAAGCTGTAGCAGCTGAAGGCAACACATTACTGCTCAGCCTTGCTCCTGCTTTCATATAGATGCAGAAAAGCCAGTGTTTCAGATGAAGCACAAGAGTAAAATTGATGGCAGGCTTCAGTGGGGATTTCTCTTGACTCCATTTCAGCAACGTTTACTTTAAAAACCCATGCAGTCAATTTTGGTAGGACCACAAAAGCTTAAGCACCCCGCTGAATCAGAGCCCTTCTGCACCCGTGGCTACAGGCTGATCTCTGTTCAGACATCACCTGTGGGGAACCACTGGCTTTCAGACACCAGGAGCCCTCCAGCAGTATGAGCAAAGGAGGCAGCAGCAGAGGATTAAAGGGCTGAGTTATCAGTCAGTCAGTTGTTAGTTCTGTGTTAACAGCAATGTCAGGACATGCAAATCAAAGCTGTTTGTTAAGAATCTTCAGGAAGGATTTAAAATATAGCGGTACTATTTAAAATCCATTTTGGGATATGTTAATACTTTATTACAAATGTAAATTGATATTAGGCCGCGCGAACCTTTTTTTCGTGTTATGCAAATTCATTATAAAATATGTTAATGTGGTTCCTGACACAAATCAGGAGAACGTGTTAACTAAGATTAATGTTAAAAATAATAATTTCTAAACTTTGTGATTATAGATAAGGCTGCATTTGTGAACTCACAGCTTACATAATTCAAACTCTGATCTAAGTCCAGATTTGTAAAACAAACTTATCAGGCAGTGAGATAATACATTTGACACTGAACTGTTCTATATCAGTCACAAAAGTGGTTATTATGAATATTTTGCTTCTGCTGTCTCATCACTGCTGGATATTTTTGAACTTCTTACTTAAAAACAACCCTTTCTATACCAAGGCTTAATAAATGTGAACTTTTGATTTACCCTCTTTCTCCATCTTCCCAACAGCAATACCTGGCTGTAAAATGTAGGTTTGGATTTGTGTACCATGGGCTGCTGGTGCTACAGCTTGAAGCTCTGGGGAAAGTCCACAGATACACAGAAAGTACACAGAAGGTTCATCCTGCATTTCCAGCAGTGTTTGTAAAGGTGGCAGGCAGGCATTCACAGCCAAGAAACTGAAGTGCTAGAAGTTTTGCTGCTCTGAATCTTTACCTTTACACATCTAAAAAGTAACAGACTTAGGAGCACCTCTAAACCCACTGAAACTCGGAAAATTTCATTTCTATTCTCTTTTTAGCACCGGGAATTCTAAAATGCTGAGCAAACCATAGAATCTTCTGAGTTGAAAAGACCCCTTAAAGGCCATCTGGTTTAAATTCCCTGCAGCGAACAGGGACACCCACAGCTCCACCACCGCTCAGAGCCCATTTCAGTCCAACCTGGACTGCAGGGCATCTGCAGGGACGGGGCATCACCACTCTCTGGTCAAATACCCCCCTTCCTCTCCTCCTTTTCAAAATGAATGTTCTAGAAATGAGGGGCGTTGGAGTTCTATGTCTTTCTCATGTTAGTTTTGGTGTGAAGAGGTTTCAGGCTGTATTTCATACTTTTTCACTCTACCAGTATGGCTGCAGTGCCATGGCTTCCCATGGAAATTGCACTGAAGTTTTAAGAAATGTACTGCTAATGAGCAATTAAAAATATGTTAATGCTTAACCTATTAAGTCATTTCGGAAGAGACAGTCACGCTTTGTGACAGAAATAACTCTCATACTACCAAAGATCCAAGTACTCTGACTTTTGGGAAAGCTCATATTTGAGTGTAAAGTTTTTTTTTTTACCCTGGAGCTCATTCTATATTTTTAAAATTCGAGTTATATAAACTTCATCTTAAGTGAGATAAACATAAGGAAAAATTGATGTAGTTCAGCCTGACATTCAAATGCACATCAGGTAATGATGGAAGTAAAACTCAGAGGCAGAAGCGTTTCATCTATTTTGATATCCCAATCACACAAGGATATTTAAGGACTTTTCCAAAACTCTTTGCACAGTGAAATTGTATCAGAAATTGTACAAGAAGTGTTACTTGGAAAACATCCACATAGAATTTACCACAGCCATCTAAAAACAGCGGTGTTTCCTCAGACCTCAACGTTTTGCTAATTAAAACTAGAAGAATGAAGTGCCCCAATGTGCTTAGTAATTAAATTCCACTTTTCAGTCTCCAGAAAATTTTGTCTTCATTTTAATTCTGACTCTGATCTAAAGAAACATTTTTCTTCTCACTTGGGATTTCTTCTCCCATTTCTGCGCTGGTATGGTGAGAACAACGTACTCTGTGGTAATTATAGAGTCATTTTCAGTTGTTCAGTCATGGAAAAAGTTACTGGAATATCCAGGAAGCTGAAGGTAAAAGCCTTCAGGACCTCTCAATTATCACCAACACCTAAGGAATCACAAGCTCCAACCCACAGCAAAAGGAGCACTTGTCAAGAAAGCTGGAGATTGCTATTGCCAAAGAGGTAATTACTTATTCATGAAAAACCCTCCTGAGAATTCAGTGCATCTGAGTGTCGGAGGCACTTGTCAGGCTCATTATCTGGGGGTAAAGGCTGCACTCAGCCCCACGTGAGAGCTTCTGCTCCTGCTGGCTTGCAAAGGGAGCCATTTCATCTAACAAGCAGAGAATCTGCTTCTCGTTCCCAGCTGAGGCTGAAACAAGTCAGTATGTTCTCCTTGAGTGCCCTCCCCTTGGCCACAAGAAAAGCCACATCTCCTGGAGGCTACCACACAAGCAGTGGCCCTTTCCCAGAAGCTGAGTACTAACATCATAAAAGAGTCTCAACTGATTTGTCCAGGCTTGAGAATTCAGTCTCTTCCTCAGCGCTTCACCATGCAGTTAACCTCTTTCTAACCATCAAGGTTGTAGCAACCTCTAATAGTACATACACAGGACTCTGGTTGCTGTATTTATTAACAAGTCCCACATGACTGTGGCTGCCAGGCAGAAGCACTATTTGGTATTTGGTCTTTCAGAGTTTGCCCCAAGATCAGAGCAAGACAGTGATTAGTCCCCAGAGCCACTTTGCACCAGTACTAATTATGAATGTTTGAAAAAAAAAAGACCAATTCTTCCTATAAATATCTCCTCCCAGAGGAGAGAGAAAGATGTCTTGTTTGATGAAGAAGAACACTCTAAACAACTGGGAAAAAGAAAAAAAGAAAAAACAGGTTAGTGTCACCAAGTGCTATTTTCTAAATGAAATGATGAAAAGCTTAAAAAAATAATAATGCTTCAAAGGAAGGAGGAAAGTTTGCTCTAGGAATGTGTGACCACATGCATATACAAAGAGAAAAATGCTCAATAAAGGTTCTCATTTTGGTCTAGCTTCACTAAAGATCATTCCTATTTTGCTAATCCAACACTGTGCACAAAGCTTGGGGGAGAGCATGGCGGGATGCTTGACACTGAAGAGCAGGCTGTTTTGATTTGTGTTTGGAACAGGCTGCCCAGAGAGCTGAGGGTGCTGCATCCTTGGAGTGCTCAGGACCAGGTGGTAAGGAAGCCCTGCACAGCCTGAACTGGTGGGGGGCAGCCAGCCCTTGGCAGGGGTTGGAACTGCATAGCCTTTGAGATCTCTTCCAACCCAGCCATTCTGTAGTTCTGTGGTTCTATGACCTGAGTCAGAAGCTTGGAATTGATAGCAATTTATTTTTAAAGCAATAAATTTGGGTGTAAGTTGGTTATTTTTTTACATTTGCTTGCCTTTGTTGCCTCTTCAGCTCAACGCTATCTCATTTTCCCATTTGCCTGCATTGTCATTTTCCTTTTTTCTTCTGTGGTAATCTCACGGAAAAGCAGATAGAATATAAAACTAATGAATATGTCTCTGCAGCAAACTGATGATAACAACAGAGAAACAACCGAGAGGAAAAGGGAGCAGTGAAGAAGCAGGTGGCAATGAGCACTTGTTGCACCTGGGCCATTTTGCAGCAGAGAACCAGCCCAGGCTCCTCGACATATTTTTCTGCAGTGCTGTGCTCACAGAAATATGAGTGTAAAAAGTTTCTGAAGACTGAAAAGCACCATTTTAACTTGGTTTAAAATAAAGGGGCTGTGGGCTGCCCTAGGAGAAAATATCTTTCATGATTTAGACTGAAACAAAGTTTCTGAACTCTAAATTTGAAATAGCACATTTAAAGGCAGGTGGGTGGATGGATGTGGAGGTGGGAAAGCAAAAAGACAAAAGGAAGAGAGCAAGAGAGAGCTCTTGGGAATCTGTTCACAGAGAGCTCTCAAAAATTTTTGAAGTTGAGGAGATATTAAGTTCTAATTGCTAGGCAATAAACAACACCCACCTGCTGACTAAATGTCAGGACCAAACTTATCTCTAAATCTGATTTGAAACAATGTCACTCAGTGGTATTATCACAAACAGAACCTTGCTTTTTTTCTAGCATTAAAATGAAAATAATGTAGGATTTTTAATTACTTGAAGTCAGAGACCTTAGGCTAAAATAAACAGAATCGTGGGATCATAGGAGTTGGATGGGACCTTTGGAGATCACCATGTTCAACCAGCAGGGTCTCCTCTGAAAGCAGTCAGTTCACAACATGCAAGAATATACTGCTAACTGAACACCCACAGGAACTCCAGAAAAACTGAACACAACCTGTGGGAACCCTCTTGATGTAGTCAACATTCACACTCCCTTCACAAGTGGCCAACAGCAGGAGGTCTGACTCCCATGATGCAAACATACTGCATGCCTACTGCTGATCCTGTGCCAGGAAGCAGTAAGTCACAATCAAGACAAAGGCAATTCTGAGAGAGACAAGGAAAAAAAAATAACACCTACTTCAGACTGACCCTTTCATTGTACTTGTGCCATTAAACAAAAATAATTAAGAAAAAAGTCTGAATTTTGAATCTCAGTGTTTGACTGTCTGAGATCCAGCCCCTACCTCCATCTTTACTTGTAGGTCTGTCACCTCTCTGAAATCCAGCAGGACAGATATCAGATCCTGGAAAGGAAGAAGAGAGGAGTCTTGAACTCTCTGCTTCCAGTAAGGCATCTGGATAGATGAAACAAGAGATTGAAATTTTGACTCAGACCATAATTGAATTGGAAGGTCAATGTTTAATCCTAACATTAGTTTTGGCTGCCAAGTTTCTCTGTATTCAGAAAATGGACTTTGGTTTTACTTAAAACTTCCCTTCCTCTGTAAACGTAGCTCCTCAGCACGAGCAGAAAGTACAAGGAACAGAAGCTGATTTAAAACAGGACATTCAATCCTTTCCTAAAAAAATAACGTCAGCAAACAGTTGTTTAAACACATCTGAAAGATAAATCCATGGAATTGCTTACCTACATCAGACCAGAGAGAATCTATATCAAAAGACATTTAGCATTTCCTCTGTCCTCACTGAACGCAAATGAGATCCTGAATTAATACAAGCATCTTAAGGACACTTGGCCAGTCACTGTCAGGAAATGGATGCTTTAGTTTACGAGATCCATTAGCAGGTTTGTGCAGCTGAGTGACACCTGTGACTGGATGTCACACCTGGAGGATGAATGGAAAGATGATTTATTTGGCAGATAATATTGGGAGCTACAAGATCTTTGTGGAGTAAGAGGATAACCTAGAAGTGATGGGGCCGCTGTTGGACCAAACTCATCTCTCTTCAGTTACTTTTGCACAATCTTGAGAAAGATGCTCAGAATTTGCTTACTTCTTAGGACTGTTATGAGGATAAATACAGAATAAATAAATGAATACATGAGGCACTTAAGTGCCCCTGCAGTGTGGATCATACAAGTGCACAAGTGTTTGCCATTGTGGGACGGAGCTTGGAAAGCTATTCTGTATTTAACTCACCATGTGGACAATATTTCACACCACGAAGATATTTATGCAAATTTTCTTAGCCGATTTCAAGAATGGTTTAATTGAAACTTGTGTGCAGGATGACAGTATCCTTGTTGGAAGCTAATGCGAAATAGTTATTTGGCTTAAAATTCGTGTTCTACCTTGCTGTGTAATAGCTTTCCTGTGTAGATAAACCATGAAAGGAGAAAAATGGGCAATATCTATTAAGTAGTTTTTGTAACAAACAGCTTATCCATTATTCACTATTGAACAGGGAGTTACCTTTAAAAGCATCTATCCTATCAGGATACACAAAAATGAATCGGGTGGTAGAAAGCAAATTCACCATAAAAGGCAATCAGTTGACAGATGGAGGGAAAACACATTTGAAAACAGCATATTTGAGAAGGATCATGGAAATGCACACTTCTGTCTCATTTTGGACAGCAAAGCACGGCCTATTAGGACTCCCACAGGACATTTAGTTATCATCCAGCAGAAGGGCTGAAGTGGAGTTTGTGGAGAAAAGTAGGTAGATAGTCAAAGAAAGCAGACGCTAAATGGAGGTCTGGAATATTCTGAGCCACCAATCTAATAGAGAGAGAAATATAACTCGTGGAAAATCATACAGCTGGAGCAGGAACAGTTGAAAAGCAATGACAATAATGTGTTCTTAGCACAGCAGAAGGTAAAAGCATGAAAGTAATGACTATAAGCTAGTAATAGTAAAAGCCATTAGAAAAAGACTGGCTATTTTCTTCGGTTTCAGTCCCAGCTGAATCTATTCTGGTATTTATAAAAGAAACCTGGTGTGTTAAAATGAAACATTTTTTGTATTTATAGATCTTTCACTAGGAAGTGAAGAGTTTGGTTTTCCATAAGAAATGCATATAGCCTTGGAGTCTTCAGGAAGGCTATCCTTATGTTGCACCCATTACAGATGAATCTAGGCATTTAAAGTGATCAAGGATACAGAAAGAAGTTTCTTGATTGCTCACACCAATTTCAGGACCATGAGCAAAGCTGCTGAGACTTGCTTGGGATGCCTCCTGTTGAGAGACTGAAGAATCCATGGTCAAAAAATCAGAGAGATGCTTGATGGTAATTCTAAGGTCTGAGACAGGTTAGAAACATTTCCTTGCACCACGTCATCCCCTTTCCCCACCTCACTTGTGCCTGCAGGCAGCCAGCTACAGCTCAGCTCCCAGACATAACCATTACTCCAACAGTGTTAAGGCCTGGATAAGAAGGAAAAGACGTTTTTCATCCCTTTATTTAACTGTAATGAAACACAAGATTTCTTGCTCTTACTCTGCTCCTCTGACAGCTTTCACAAGCGCCAGCTGCATGCAAGAAGCACAAAGTGACTGGAAGAAGAGATGTGTGTCAGTGCTGTCCACCTGCACAGAAGCAGTGGGTGCGGAGGGCTGGTGATGCCTGCTGCTCTCCATGTTCTGTGCTGCACTGCCAGGGGACCTCAATTGTTCTCATCTTATGCCAAACAGATGGTAGTGTCACATCACATCCAGCTCACTTCTCTAAACATGATTTCTCCCCCTTTTTAAATTGTTTATTACTGTTTTCTTGTCTTCCCTCGATTGCCTTTACTGCCTTTCCACAGATGCATCAGCTGCGACTGAAAGTCCAGAACTGCAATCAGCCTGCTGCCCTTCTTACCCTACTGCCATATCCTCTGGCTCAGTGACAACTTCACAGTCAAAGGGCAGCTAACACTGTGATGATCAATGACAAAAGATGAGCAAACTGTGTAAGGACTTCGTTTGCTGGGTGAAGAAGGCAAGGGTCCCATGTATACATCAATTTGTAAGGCTGAATTTTTGCAAGGATTGTAAGATGTTCTGTCTCAGAGATCCAATATTCCCTGCTTCAAGGCCTTAAGTCCTTTCCTTAAGGAATTTCACTCACAATTTGATTCTGTGTGAATCAAAAGGGAAAGCATGTACAGTATTTATCAAAAACATTAAATGAGGAACATGAAGATCCCAAAACGTCTAGCCAAAGTACATTTGTAGCATCTTCTACTTCAATATTATAGAATAATAGCAGCACAGTCATCGAAGCATGTTTCAGCAATTGCAGCTTGGAACTCATAATTGCAAGCCCCTATGAAGTTATGTGGCTTATTTTAGCTTAAAGTAGGATTACACATTTCTATGACGAAGAATAGTATTGTCAGCCACACAAGGACTCTCAGTCCTCACAGCCCAGGTCATTGACTAGTCCCTGAATGAGTAAATGATTTTCTGTGTTTTAGTGTAAGGCCATTATTGCACAATCAAACTCTGGCTACAACATGTAGATGACCATTAAGGATCCCTTCTGACTCAAACATTTCTGATAGTTGCAACCAGGAACAATTAGGGCTCATTATTTCTTTTCTACTAACATTTGCTGCCAGAATTAAGCACTCATATTTTTAAGCTGATACCTATCTTTTTGTTATTACCACTAATTGTGGCTTGGCATGGAGCTTATGCAAATGTTTTTGATTACAGATTTTTGCAGTACAGATCATCTAACCATACTTACATTTGGAAAAGGGCCCTGGCTGCTCTCCCAGAGGCTGAACCTGCTCTACAGGCAGGGACACCTATCCGTCCCTTAGGATGCTGCTGGTGTATACTGTTGCTCCCTCCTTGCCCATTCCCCCCCACATCAAAACAGAGGCTGCCTTAAGCTTATGTTATTCTATGATGGTTTACTCTTAAAGTTCAAAAAAATTAAATCAATAGTAACAATAAATCCAAAAGCAGCAGCTAAATAAGCTGAATTTAAACAACGAGGGGAAAAGCAGCAAAACAAAAAAAATTTCTTATTTTAGCTTAAAACTTCCTTCTCTATTAAATTCTAATACAGTGGGGGAAAAAAAAGCAACAAACACAATGGATCTTCAATGTCTTTTGAAGTACACTATTTTGTCTTAGTTCCTTCTCTACACTCACCAACATCTCTGTATCATTTCTAGCCACTTTCTTGGAAGAGTTTAAATAAGGCATTAACTGCTCACATGTGCCCCTAATCAACATTGCCTCCAGCAAACACATGCTTCTTTAAAAGGTCTTAAGAAGACAATAGTAGAACTGTTAAGTGCACATTAGAGAGTCGTTCTCTTGTTGACATTTTATAGATCTCAAAAAAAGGAACTGCTAGCAAGAAAATCATAGAACATAACACTTCTTGCAGTCTTGCTTTGCACTGTATCTTCTATTTATAAATTTATGGTCAAGTAGACAACTTTCTATGCTCAGAAATGATAAGACGTGAAGGACTAATAGAGAAAGGGAATATATCCACTCTGAAATAGCCAGGTTTGAACACAAAACTTAGATGAACCAGAATCTCCCAAGTTTGTGAAGCCAGAAAATCTGTTTGTGACTAGGAGTTAACACAGCAATCACTTCTGGACAGTTAAAAACACTGAACCTGTGAGGTGAGATGTCTCCTCTAAGCCTTCCTCCTGGCAGACAGACCATCACTTTCAGGTAGTACCAGGGTGTTTTTGGCACAAGAAAAGTAGAGACAGACAAAGTTGATAGCCCAGCTGTATTTAAAGAGCTCCTCAGTTGTCGTTATTATAACTCTGTAATGCACTGTGGTATATAACTTTGATGTTTTGAGGGATTCTTGGGGCTGAAGTTGATGCTTATTAATTTAAAAGAGTCCTCTGCTGAACAGTAAAACAGAGTAGAAATGCTCTCAATGGATTGTCTATTCTAAAAATGCCTCTGGTTGTCGGCAGTGTGGGCTATATGCATTAGGTGAGGTGGCAGGAGGTTCTTTCACTGCTCTCAGCTATATTGTCCTGCTTTGCATGGCCAAAGCATGACAGCGACTGCATCAAGGTCACAACTGTCTACGTTCAATCTGTGCATAACCTCTCCAGAAAGGACACCATGTGAAGAGGGGCCATTTCTACTTTGATTCTAGTAATCTTTTTAAAGAAAATCAGTTGCACAGTGGGAACCTGCAGGCTTGATTATGTGTACATTTGAGTGTCTCAGTGTATATGCGTAAATATTTAGAAATTCTTTCTGACTGCTGTGAACTGCTGTACACTTTAGTTGTGCATGTGACATAGCCCCAAAACAGCTCAATGAGCTCCTGAAATAGACTCTCAAATAGAATCAAACAGCACTGACCTGCCAGTGTCACAGGGTTTTCAGCTCAGTGTTCGCTAAGGCAATACTTAGCACAGTCATTTCGGAGCTT